AAAAAAAAAAAAAAAAAAAAAAAAATTCGGGGAAAAATTAGTATCATTTTTTGTTTTTTTTTTTTTTTTTTCCGTGTCGGGCAACGGATCGCAACCCTCAGTGTTGCCCCCGTACCGGACCGGGGACCGGCAACGGGATCGCAAGCCTCGGCGTTGCTCCCGCGCCTTGCTCAGCCAGTGAGCGGGAGCCGGTCTGTATGTGGGATCCGAACCCTCGGACGGGAGCGCCGCCGCGCGTCCCAAGCGGCGCACTATCCAGTGCGCCACCGGGCCGGCCCTAGTATCATCTTTTAATTCTATTTTTCCATGAACTTTTTGAAATGCCTGCATATGTACCTGGGGAAGAGAAAGTTTTCCCAACTATAAAAGGAAATGAAAAGGTTATAAAGGATAAAATCAAGAGGTGTGATTACATAAAAATTTTAAAAATTATAGACACAAAGTACACCATGCATAACATTTAAAAGGCAAACAACAAACTGAGGGAAATTTTAGAATATACAGAGGACAGAACTCTTACAAATAACTGAGAAACATATCAACAGAAAAATCAGTAAGGGACTTCTTCTGGTCTGATGGAGTCAGGGACTGAATTCACCCGCCTGCCTAAACTCTAGAAATCTGGGTAAAATACAGGAAACAACAGCTTTCAGACATTGGCCAATAGGCAGCACATGACTATGATGCTTGAAAGAAGGGAAACAAATCGGGTAAGCCTTATACATGCCCCAACTTACTTTCTAGAGTTTCCAGACTGCGCAGAACCCCATGGCCTCACTGAATTCAGGAGACAAAAGATTGCAAGCAAAACTGGGGGCAAAATACCAGAAAGAAGGGAGCTGAACAGAGAAAGAGCTCTGAAGATAACCCAAATATCCCTGTATCTACGAAAGAGGTTGAATTCATAGTTAAAACCTTTCCTACAAAGAAAACTCCAGGCCCAGATGGTGTCAAGGGTAAATTCTATAAAATATTTAAAGAAGAAATAATACCAATTATACACCAACTTTTCTAGAAAATAGAAGAGAACACTTCCCAACTTTTTCAATGAAGCCAGCATTACCTTTTTCCAAAAACCAGACAATGGCATTACAAGAAAAGAAAACTACAGACCACTATCTCTCATGATCATACAAACATTTTTCATGAAATTCTAGCAAATCAAATGCTTTTGAGATTCATCTATGTTGTTGCATGTCTCCATAGTTCATTCCTTTGAATTGCTGAGTAGTATTGGATAGTAAGGATATCCCACAGTTTACCCATTTACCAGTGGTGAGAAAACTGTCAAAATGTTTTCCAGCATGGCTGTACCATTGTGCAAGCATGCCAGTAATGTATAAAAAATTCCACTTGTTCTACATCCTGGTCAGCACATAGATGAATCTCAAAAGCATAAAAAAAAGATACAAAATTACCAAGTGTTTATAAGGTTAGTACAACATTTGAAAACAGTCAATACAAAGAAAAGCATATATTCATCTCAATAAATGCAGAAAAGGCATTTCACAAAATTCAAAACCCTCTCATCATAAAAATTCTCTTCGAACAAGAAATAAAAGGGAATGCCCTTAACTTGATAAGAGACATGTACAGAAAATCTAAAGCCCATTATAAAGCTAACATTATACTTGAGTTGTAGATTTTGAGCAGATGTCGTTTACCAAGTTCTTGTCTGTTGAAAGATTTCCCCACAAGATCAGAAAATAAAAAAAGAATATCTGCTCTCATCACTTCTATTCAACATTGTACTGGAGGTTCTAGCAAGTTAAATAAGGCAAGTAAAAAATAAGTAAATAAGTAAAAGGCAGTCAGACTGGAAAAGAAGTAGTAAATCTTTTAGTATTCATAGACAACATAATTCTGCAGGTAGAAAATCCAATAAACCCACAAAAAAGCTCCTAGAACTAATTTATGAATTAAACAAGATTGCAAGATAAGGTCACTAATAAAAAATCTATTAGATAACTCTAAACTGGTAATGCACAATTATAAATTACAATTGGGCTGTCCAGTTAGCTCAGTTGGTTAGAGTACAGTGTTGTAACACCAATGTCAAGGATCCAGATCCCCTTACTGGCCAACCACCAAAAAAAAAAAAAGTTAAAATTAAAATTCCACTGATATGAGGTATACAGAGTAGTTGAACTTATAGAAACAGAATGTAGAATGGTGGCCCGGGGACTGGGGGAGGGGAAAATAGAGAGTAGTTGTTTAATGAGTACAGAGTTTCAGTTTTGTAAAATAAACAAGTTCTAAAGATTGGCTGTATGACAATGTGAATATACTTAACACTACTGAACACTTAAAAATGGTTGAGATGGGGCCGGCCCAGTGGCGCACTGGATAGTGCGCCGCTTGGGAAGCGCGGCGGCGCTCCCGTCCGAGGGTTCGGATCCCACATACAGACCGGCTCCCGCTCACTGGCTGAGCGAGGCGCGGGAGCAACGCCGAGGCTTGCGATCCCGTTGCCGGTCCCCGGTCCGGTACGGGGACAACACTGAGGGTTGCGATCTGTTGCCGGACACGGAAAAAAGGACAAAAGACACAAAAAAAAAAAAAAAAAAAAAAATGGTTGAGATGAAAATTATATATTATATGCATTTTACAATAAAAAACAATAAAATTTCATAACCAAAGTAAACTTAGAATAAGCAAACAATTGAAATTACAAAAGTATTAACATTTACAATAGCATAAAACATATGAAACACTTAAGAATAAATTTAACAAAAAATATGCAAGAACTATACACTGAAAACCACAGAACATTGGTGTAATAAATTAAAGAAGACCAAAATGAATGGAGAAATATACAATGTTCATGGCTTAGAAATCTCAATATTGTTAAAATGTCAGTTCTTCAAAAATTTATCCACAAATTCAACACAATCCTACTCCAAACACAAGCAACTAATTTTGTAGAAACAGATTTGCAAAGGACCTAGAAGAGCCAAAACAACTTTAAAAAGAACAACAAAGTTGGAGGACTTGAACTACCTGATTTCAAGATTTACTGTAAAACTACTACAACCAAGACAATGAGGTACTGGTGTAAAGATAGACATTTGGAATAATGAAACAGAATACAGGGCGTCGGAAATAAACTCACATACCGGCCAGCCACCAAAAATAAATAAATAAATAAAAATAAAATAAATAGACCCACACATACATGGTCAATTGATTCTGGACAATGGTCAATGAGGAAAGAATAATCTTTCATTACATGGTGCTTAAACACTTGGATATCATATATGTATATGTGTATGTATATGTACATATGTGTGTGTAAATAAGTATATATACATGTCCAAAAAATAAAAGATCTCAGACCCAATTATAAGTTAAAACTAAAAACTTTCTAGGAGAAAATGTAGAAATTAGAAAAAGATTTCTTAAATAGAACAAAAAAGCCCAAAGTATAAAAGAAAATTTGATTTTATTAAAATTAAAAACTTTTGCCCTTACAAAGACACTGTTAAAAATATGAAAAGGCAAGCCCCAGAGTATCAGAAGATATTTGTAGGGGCCGGCCCGTGCGCCTCTTGGGAAGCGCGGCGGCACTCCCGCCGAGGGTTCGGATCCCACATACAGACCAGCTGCTCACTGGCTGAGCGAGGCGCGGGGGCAACACCGAGGGTTGCGATCCCATTGCCGGTCCCAGTCCGGTACGGGCGCGACACTGAGGGTTGCGATCCGTTGCCGGTCACAAAAAAAGACAAAAAAAAAAAAGAAGATATTTGTAAAACATGTGGACGTGTACTTCAGGGCCATGCGTGGAGCTGCCGCTGCTGTGCAGCAGGACCGAGTAAGCACAGGGACCAGCCGCACTGCGCCAGGGCCCTGTACTGCACGGAGGAGCACAGCCTGCCACACTTGCAGGATTACAGCCTCTTCTTCAAGAATGTAACCGGTCACTACATTTCCCCCTTTCATGATATTCCTCTGAAAGTGGGTTCTAAAGAGGAAAATGGCATTCCTACAAAGAAAGCACAAAATGATGAATATGAGAATTTGTTTAATATGGTTGTAGAAGTACCTCGGTGGACAAATGCCAAAATAGAGATTGCCACCAAGGAGCCATTGAATCCTATTAAACAAAGGTGTAAAGGATGGCAAGCTACGCTATGTTGCGAATATCTTCCCTCAAAAGGGTTATATGTGGAATTATGGCCCCTCCCTCAGACTTGGGAAGATCCCCATTGAAAAAATAAGAGCACAAACTACTGGAGATAATGATCCTACTGATGTTTGTGAAATAGGCTCAAAGGTTCTTTCTCATGGAGAGGTTATTCATGTGAAGGCACTTGGAATTTTGTCTCTTATTGATCAGGGTGAAACAGATTGGAAGTTAATTGCTATCAATGTGAATGATCCTGAAGCCTCACAATTTCATGATATTGGTGATGTTAAGAAGTTAAAACCAGGTTACTTGGAAGCTACTCTCAATTGGTTTAGATTTTATAAAGTGCCAGAAGGAAAGCCAGAAAACCAGTTTGCTTTTAATGGAGATTTCAAGAACAAGGCTTTTGCTCTTGAAGTTATTAAATCTACTCATGAATGTTGGAAAGCATTGCTTATGAAGAAGTGTGATGCAGGGGCTATAAATTGTACAAATGTGCAGGTATGTGATAGCCCACTCCATTGCACTCAGGAGGAAGCAAGATCATTAGTTGAATCAGTGTCATCTTCACTGAATAAAAAAAGTAGGAAAGAAGACCACGTGTGGCACTTCCTTGGCAAGTGACAGAACATTTGAAGTTGTGCCATCAAGATTCCAGCGCCTAAGGAGCAAGAGAAGGGGGAAAAGGCCCTGAAGGCATTGCAGAAGCATCTGGGGCCAACCCTTCCATTTCAGGCCCAAAGACCTAAGGAGACAGAATGGAATTGGGGAACAGGCCTGAGGTGCCTTCCATGGACTCACTGCCCAGGACCACGTCAGGAAGCTGCTCCCCAGACCAGCACTCCAGATGTTTTGGCTGCTCCAGCCTTGGCTAAATTGGGCCCAGGCATAGATGGACCCCCAGCTTTGGAAAATACAAGCTGGAAGCCTTGGCAGATTCCACATAGTATAAGGTCTGCAGGCTCGCAGAATGCCAGAGCTGTGGAGGCTTGGGAGCCTCTACCCCAATTTCAGAAGATGTATGGAAAAGCTTGGGGGCCCAGGAAGAGACCTGTCACATGGGTGGAGTCACTGTATAGAGTCTTCTCTAGAGCAATGTCAAGCAGAAAGTGGGGTTAGAGTTGTAGCAGGGAAACCCCATCAGCACCATGCCTTGGGGAGCCATGAGAGCGGGCCCACCATGGAGACCCCAGACCTGTGGAGCTACCAGTGTGGAACTCCAGCCTGGGAGAGCCGAAGTGTGGCCTGAGACAAGAGAAGCCACAGGAGCGGAGCTGCCCAAGGACTTGGGGGCCCAACCCACACACCAGCATGCAAAGGAGGTTGAACATGGTGTCAAGGTACCTGATTCATCAGCTTTGAGATTTAATGCCTGCCCTGCTGGGTTTTGGACTTGTTTGAGACCTGTTATACCTTTCTTTTGGCCTATTTCTCCATTTTGGAATGGGAATATGTACCCTTTGTTTGTCCCACCATTGTATCTTGCAAGTAGATAACTTGTATTGATTTCAAAGATGGGACTTTGACTTTGGACTTTTGAGTTGAAGCCAATTAAGACCCTGGGGATGAAATGAATGTATTTGCATGTGAAAAGGTCATGAGTTTTATGTAGTGGATTGAATTATGTCCCCCTAAACCTCATTGAAGTTTGAATTGTGTTCCCCAAGCTTTACGTATTAGAAACTTAGCTCCCACTGTGACTGTTAAGAGGGTGGGAAATCCTATTATGGTAATTGAAAAGTGGGGCCTTGAAGAGGTGATTGGATTGTAGGACCGGGCTGTAGTGAAAGGATTAAAGATGGTGGTCAGGGGCGTGGTTCCTCTCTCTCTCTCTCTCTCTCTCTCTCTCTGCTTTTACCATCTTGCAATGTAAGACCCCTGGGTCACTATTGCCACCACCAGATGGACTTTGGACTTCCCAGCCTCAGAAAATGTAAGCAATAAATTTTGTTCTTCTTTAAAAAAAAAAAAAAAAAAAAAAGATTCCAGCGCCTAAGGACTCCAAGACCCATATTCCCCTAAGTACTAGAGGCAGGCAGGTTTATGAGCATTTGCTGGCTTCCTGTTGAAACTTTATTTTTTTCAAACTTTTTGAGATATGCAATATGTAAATAAACAATGAAATTTTTTAAAATAAATAAAGGACATGTACTTTACAACTCAATAATAAGAATACAAACAACCCAGCTTTTTTAAATGGACAAAAGAATTTAAAGATACTTCACAAAAGATATATGGATGGCAAATAAGCATATGAAAAAGACACTCAATATCATTGGTCATTAGGGATATGCAAATTAAAGCCACAATGAGATACCATTAAATAACTCAGAGGATGGCTAAAATTAACAAAACTGACAATACTAAGTGCTGACCAGGATGTAGAACAAGTGGAATTTTTTATACATTACCGGCATGCTTGCACAATGGTACAGCCATGCTGGAAAACATTTTGACAGTTTTCTCACCACTGGTAAATGGGTAAACTGTGGGATATCTTTACTATCCAATACTACTCAGCAATTCAAAGGAATGAACTATGGAGACATGCAACAACATAGATGAATCTCAAAAGCATTATGCTAAGCTTAAGAAAATAGACATGAAAGACAACTTATTGTGTGATTATGTTTATATAAAAGTCTAGAAAAGACATAACTATGGAGACAAAAAGCAGTTCAGTGGTTGCCAGAGGCAAGGGTATGGGGTCTGCACTGACTGCAAAAGGGCAAAAGGAAACTTTTGGGCTGATGGAATGTCCTATATCATATACATTTGTCAAAACTCAGCGAAATATATACTATAAAGTTGGTAATTTTTGTTGAATGTAAATTATACCTCAATAAAATATACTGATTTTTAATATACTGATTAAAAGAAATCAGTAAAGATGCATTAACAAAAGAAGAAATTTAAGTGGCAGATAGATTTAAAAAAATTAACTTTACTAGTAATCAAAAAATATACCAAGGTCAATGATTAACACAGAGGTCAAGGGTTTAGACCCCTGTACAGGCCAGCTGCCAAAATGCACACAAACACACACACACACATATTTAAATTCACTACTATCATTTCTTCAATTATTCAATTGACTTAAAATGATTATAGTACCTAGTGAATAGTACCCAAAAATGGGCATTATCTTACATTGCTGATAAGAGAGGATGAAGGCACCACTTTTCTGAGAATACAAAAATATGTTTCAAAAGCCTTAAAAATACTCCAACCCTTTGATCAAGCAGTTTAAATTCTAATAATTTACCCTGTAGAAATAATCAGGGAGGTGCAAAAAAATACATAAACAAATATTTATATAACACTACTTATAGAAGGTGGCCAAATTATGGTTCTTTTATAGGATAGATTATTTAAAATACACACGTGTATATTTAAAATGCACACACACACAAATCCACAATCTCCTCTTAGGTATAAGAAGCAACAAATACTCTTAGTATTTACCACTAAAAGCCCTTTAGTGGCAAATAAGGAGCCTAGGATTTTAGATAAGTGAAGTAAATGTATATACAAAGTCACTACAATACCTACCAAAAACTATATCAACTACAATATCTATCAAACTGTTATTCTACCTTTATATCACTGTCAATTTTTTCCCATTCTTCTGCAGTAAAACTGGATGCTGTTGCTGCAGGTTTGTCTTTCCTCAAAGCTCTACTTTCAGGAGCCAGGCCTTTAAGACGCTTTTCACAAAATTCTGTAAGTTCAGGATAATATCCTTCCTCACCAGACCTTAACAGAAATTCATAATTTTAGATAGAGTTAGCACCTTATTTAGAGATCTAGAGCAGTGGTTTGCAAGCTGGATTCCATGGAACCCAGGGCTTCTGTGGAGATCTCAAGGATGATGTCTGGATCTCTACTCCTGGAGCCTGGGCTGCTGGTTTCCCACTCACCTCCCTCAACTAGCGTAACCTCCATTTTTACCTGCTTGTCTATGATGTGTTGCAATGAATGAAAAAAAGAACTCCAAAGAAACCAATTTCCATCACACACTTTAAAAGGTGAATAAATAACATCTCTCCTTTTTAACATACATATGTTCATTTTGAACATGAGGTAATTTTAACTTAAAAATGGAAATTCAATATTAGAAACAGGCACAGAGAGAGAATTCAGACTTCCTTCTCAACAAGTTTATATTCATAGTTTAATTTTTATTTTCAATGGGATAGCAAGAAAATAGCAGAGAAACAGTGTAGACAAAACACCCCTAAATTCAACAGCTTAAGAAACAAAATTTCTTCCTCAGAGAGTTAAATGGAGACATCTCTTCTTTTTCATTTGCTTTTAAGGAAAACCAGTCTTCCCATTCTCTTTTAGGTCTGTTCACTCTTACATTTCTAGAAAAATATTAATAAATCCCATTTTCAAATTAAATTTTAAAAAACAAGGGCTGGTTGGTTAGCTCACTTGGTTAGTGCACGGTGTTGATAACACTTAGGTCAAGGGTTCAGATCCCTGTACCCGCCAGCTGCCAAAAAAAAAAAAAAATCCCAAGTCCAAGTCAACACGATACCATATAATTTAATTAGGCTATTCACAGAATTTCTTAGAACCAACATAACTATGGCTTTCAAACTATTTGATCCCATAAACTTCTCATTTTTTTCAATCTTTGACCAAAAATAAATGACAATATTCTGCTGAGAAAAACAAACGGGAAAATAATATGATTCTTCTTCTATTTCAGAAATAACAAGGTTATTACATCAACTCTGGCTGAGGACAAAAGGTAGGACAGAATTCTATAGGTGATGAAAGAAAAGAAGGAAAGAACACAGTGATAGGGAAGAGAATCAGAGGAAAGAAAAGAGAACCACTGCAGAGCAATAGGAATACTACTGATGTGCTGGAAAGGAGCAGTTCATGCTTCACAGGTGCCTTCTACAATAGAACTTTGGTCTCCAACTGAAAACAGCTCAAGAAATCCAAAAGAGGTGTCACAGGTTGGTAGTCTGTTGCTTTGCCTCCCACGGATTCGTCACCCCTCATCCCCTGGGTGATGGAGCCGCAAAGGATTACTGAAAGCCCATCTCTTCTGAGCAGCAAGAGACCCCAAGGGGTTTAATTTCCTGGAACCCTCAAGAGCAAGGCATTCCTTCCTTTGGGAATTAACCATGAATTGGGGTTCTCTCCCCACATTTATTTTCCAGACCAGGAAGTTACAGAAAAAGAACATAGGTGGGATAATAGTTTAACAATAGAGGCTGGTAACAAGCAAGGTGACATTCCATAATGCAATTTGCAAAAGGTTAAGTTGATCCACCAACAAAAGCTTGATCTTAGCAAACATTCTCTCTCCCTACAGATATTTCCCAGTATCTTTACATATCAGTAACTTGTCTGTCCTTGAGCCAGCAACCTTGCTGTGCTACAATTCTTTATCTTACAAGAGAGACTTTTAGCCTGGGGAAAATTTCCTGTCTTTTGCAAGGTTAACATTTTTGTATGTACTTTTAAGAAGTTAGGCTAAACCTGAAACTGCAAGAAACTTTTGCTTTATAGTATACTCCACAGTAGTCCACAGGGCAATATTTATTGAAGTGGGTTCCCTGACCACCTGCTTATAAAATCAGCCAGCTCACGTGTCAAAAACACATTCCTGGGCCCTACTCCAGATTTCCTGAAGCAGAATCTCTGGGAATGGGGCCCTCAAATTTGAGTTTTTAACAATCACATAAGATGTATGTTAAAGTTTGACAATCAAGACCATGGAGCTCTATCCTGAGAAGGCCCTAATTCCCTGCCTTCTGATATTACCTTCAGACCTCCCCGTCATCCTACATGTGATCAGCTTACAGTTGAGTCACACTCTCTTGCTGTCAGATGATATGAAGTAGGAAAGTGCCAAAGAACTGACCTCCTAATGGTTACTTTCACAGCTACTTTACCTTTTCCTAGAAAATATGGAGGAAGCAAGAAAAATGCCCTTTTGGATACTAATCAGCTTAAGTCTCATGGGGAAGTAGACTTAGCCAGAACCCTCCAAACTAACCACAGGATCAAAACCACTATTTTCTTGTTCTGGGCAGCTGGATGGTAACAGGGATCAAACCCTGAAACTTGGTGTTATCAACACAATGCTCTCACCAACCGAGCTAACTAGCCAGCCCCCAAACCACTATTTTGGAACCTACCATGGGAAAAAACAACAAACAATCGCAATATCTGAAAATTTTCTCCAATATTTCTAATGTAGCTTTGACTTTTAGAAGGCAACAATAAAGTTTAGATTGGCATAGTGAAACATGAAATGATTTTTAAGTGCTTACCTGAGCACACAAAGAATTTTTTCCAGCTGTTTAACATCTGAACATTTTTCAATATACTTGAAATCCAAATGTTCAATGGGAATTTTAAATGTTTTTGTTGTTCCAAACCCCCACAATGATGGATAATCTTTGGCAGTCATGGCTAAAATATAGGATAGGAAAACATTTACAAACCTAATACATAATAATATTCATTTAGATAGGAGTCACCATCTAAGGACTTGTGTAGAAAAGGAAGTGAGTGTTTTTTCCAAGGAGGAAGTTTACTTGTTTTGAACTCTCTCCCCGATAACAACAGTTAACATGTATGGAGTTAAATTACTGTGCCATACGTGGATTATCTCACTTAATCTTCACTTAAGCTGGAATACAATGACAAAGCAGGTTTTGGCACTCAAACTGCTTTTTAAGATATCTTTTAATGTTGATTTTGAATGACCTTCCTCTACTTTAGCGGTTTGTTAACATCCCAATCACCCTTTGTGATTCAGCACAAACATAAATAACATCTTTTCTGTAACTTTCCTTAATATCACCTTCTTTTCCATTCCCTGCCCTCCTTACATTCCCTACTAGTCACTGCCATCAATGAATAGCTCCCAGAAATGTGCTTTTTTGTGTGTGTGCGGCTGGCTGGTATAGGGACAGAACTGTGTTTTAACAGCACTCTGTACATACCTCTCTCTTAGCACACAGCACACATTCTAATTATGTTTCTTTGTCTTACTTTCTAGATTGCAAGAAATTGTACTTTATTCATCCTCATAGCTCCAGGACTACCATAAGTAGTGCCTTATACTCCTTAAGAAACACTTGCTGAATTGAATTGAATTGGGAATAAGGAAGCCCTGGACAGTTTCACTATAATACTACTGCTGCTAATGATGATGATAATAATAACAGTAACAAATATTTACATAGTTCTCAATGTGTGCTGGGCGCCATTCTAAGTGCTTTAGATAAACTATAAGTACTTCCAAAAGTACATGGAAAGATTCGTATTATCTTTCAATTCTATTTTTCTGTGAACTTTTGGAAGTATCCTCATATTACCTCATTTAATCCTTCAACTACTGTATCAGGCAGGTTTTATTTTAAGCAGAGAGCAGTAATATCAGTCAACATTTATGGAGCTAAATTATCATGTGCCATAGATTTATCTCTCTGAAATCTTCAAAACTAATCTCATAAAGGATGGGAGTAATCAATAATTACTCCCATTTTACAATGAGCAAGTTGATAAGTAAAAGGGATATGAATCTCAGGAAGTCAACTACAGAGGCCACATACTTAACTGTAGTAACAGTGCTTTTCAAACTGCAGTTGGCAACCCATGAAATCAGTTTAGTGAGTTGCAATCTACATTGTTTCATAATCAGGTAGAATAAAAAAATTAGACGACCCGGCAAATAACATTAATGTTGTTTTATAAAAACTTTTATTTCAGGTCTATGTAAATGGAAATTATGTGTGTACATAAATGCACATGGATTTAAAATAAAATATATTTGTTATTGTGGGTCACTGTCAAAAATTTTAAAAAGCTAAAACCTATTGGGTGCTTATTTTAAAGACGAGAAGTAGCAATGGGTCTAACTGGTAGAAGTTTTTCTTTAAGTATGACTACTCTCTGGGAGGGTAGTAGACCTCTGCAGAAAAAGAGGACACTCTGTCAGATTGTCCTCCATATTCCTGCTGGCTTTGATTTGAATACAGAATACAGATGACAGTATATCAGCTCTGGGATGAGATCCAGCCGAGAAACTAGATTGCGGGTTTCACACCATACCTGGAAGGCCCACTATGATAAATGGCTCCCATCACAATGATAACCTTAAAGGTGGAAGTTACAGGAAAGCAAGATGAACTTTTGAATTATTGATGCTGCCCCAAATAGAACAGGTTGCCTTAGAATTTTTCCAAAAAGCTGGAGGATCTTTGCTCAGAAAGATTTAAACATCTAATGGGATTAAAATAGATTACCTTAAATTGAAGGTGTCTTGCAACCCCTAAGAGTTTATGATTTGAATAACAAATATAACAAAAAACATATGAAACGACAGAGCCATCTCTTGCCTAATCAAATTTCATTATGAACACTGTTTTAACATTTCTCAGAGAATTCTTTTTTAAAACTACCATTATTTTTTTTCTATAGGATACACATTCTCAAGATTACTAAATGTTAATTCTCAAATTCCAAAAAACAAGTTATACAATACCTCATTTGCTTTTCAGAACTCTTCAACATCTGTTTGAAAATTCTTTGTCTGATTAGGAAAACCTTTGGTCTTAGCTGGATTTAATTTCTTCTCCATCATCCCGATCCACATTCACTTCCCGCATTTCCTAATTAGTTTATCAATAATAACCTCCAGTGCAAACTATGGACTAGTAACAGCAGCAACGCCAGCCAATACCGAGGCACCTTCTCTCCAGCATCCGCAGGGCCGAGTGCCCCCTGCAGCCGGAGACCGGAAGGAAATGGCATCCTCCGGCCATAGCAACGGTTTCTATGTACAGCGCGGCCGAGAAGGTAGCTTAGTACCGGACTGGCCTGGACCCCGGAACTCTACAGCCAACGCGCGACGGTCTGAAATTGCTTCCCAGCCCTTGGCCTGAGTCACCGGGGCTGGCGCCGGCGGCCGACCTAGGGAACTCGTGAGCCTCCACAACACCCACCACCCTCCGCAGCCTGGAAAACCCGATGGTTTCCTTCGCCCAGGAAGGAGGCTCGTACCACAGCACGCTGCCTCCAACTCTGGTCCAACGGTGCATTTGCTTCTCCGCCTCCGCCTTTCACCCCCTCTCCCGGAGTGAGGCACTGCGATGGGGAGACCTACCTTATTCCGGGGCGGCAGCTACCCGCCGGCACGCACCCACCCCTCAGGCCCCGCGCGGCGCCGCAGCTGCCGAGGGAGAGGCGTGTCGGCCCCGCCCGGACCTCCGCGAGGGGGCGGAGGTTAGCCCTCTGCGGGATGATTGGCTGCTCCCAGAGTCCCATCCCACTGACCGGCTTTACATGCCTTAGCTTCACCTTCTCCACCAACACCGGACATGGAACCATTTGAGCACGAGTTGAAGTGTAAGGGTTCCTCTTCCTCTCGTTTTAGTTTCAATTTGTTTTGGAGTTAAAACGTTGTTACTGTTGTCATCCTGGACTGCTGTACTCCCTGCTAGGTAAACTGATATCTGCTCCTACTTAACTATAAAAACATAGTTAAAATTTCAGACTAAACTGTCGTGGGGAACAGCATCCATCACACGCCCCAAGTCCTGTAAAGTCACTTCACATCTCCTTCCAGCCAGCAAACTTCCTCCAAAATTATGCCCTGTCTAAAACACTCAGCCAACCATAACTTCACATCCCTTAACTTCCAGCCTGGAAAGAAATCCTTTTAAGTATTTAGGAAATGGTTATAATTCCACGTGCCTTGTAATTTTCTTTTCACTCACACTTAATGCTTTCTTTTGGTTATTATTATTCCTATTTATGCTGAATATGTAAGCAGGATAAAAGGCAACTTTGTCACTAGTTTTCACGGAGATAAAAGATATTGCATCCAACAAGGAAATATAAAGTGAGGCCTGGTAAGGTCATATAGCTAGCTAACAAGGGGCAGTAAGGGTATTTGGACCCAAACACTTACACCAAAGACCATACTGTTTACAAAGCTCTTAATTATTAACCAATCCATCAATTAAGTCCTATTGACTCAACTTCAAAATGTACCTCACAACCAGCTGCTTCTCACCGCTCCACAGCTACTACCCTGGCCCAGCCATCATTATCATCAGTCTTAACTATCACAGATGGTTCCTTACTGATTTCCCTGCTGCCACCTGGCCCTAAATAGCCATTCTCACACAACAGCCTGAGTAATTTTTTAAGTCTTAAACCATGTCACTCTCCTGCTTACTGTCCCAATGGCTTCCCATCACAAGGCACTAAGTGAGCTTGCCTCTGCCTCTCTGCAACCTCATCTCCTCCCACTATCCCCCTATTCATGAAGTTTGAGTCACGTGAGCTTCATTCTTAAGTGGGCACAAGACAAACTCACTTGGGGAGCTTGTCAGGGGACAAGTGATATGTTGACTTCAAGCTGAAATTTACTAATTCTTATATTTATAGAGCACTATTCAAAAGAATCTTTTAAAAAACAATTTTATATCAATTTTTTTCTTAAAACTGTCCAAGTAGGTAAGACGTAAAATTACTTTCAATTTATAGATGAAGGGTGCACAAAGAAGTGGCTGACTGAAAACACCAGTCTCAAGTTGCAGTTATAATTCCTTGTCAATTAAGTTGCTCTGTCCAGTTAACCAAATGATATTCAATTAAATTCCTGATATGCAAAGGACCTATGCCGAAATTAGAAGAGTTAAGAGTAACTACATTATCCAATGAGTTGGGGTTTAAATGTTTAGGGGATTGTTACAAAGATATCATATATTGGGACTCCCATGTCTAAAAAGAACAAGGCCAAGAAGGAATATAGCAGAATTATAATTAACTAAGTAAGCCATGTACAAAGGAAAACCTGGACCAAGAAAGTACTCAAATCTGAGCATGGAGTACTTCATAGAGCACATAAAAATTTACAGAATTTAGTATATGAGGATGGTAGCACAAATACAAGTGGATGGAGTTTGGATGTGTTGTCCCCTCCAAACTCATGTGGAAATTTATCTCCAATGTGGCGTTAAAACTTGCACATCACTTTCTCTTTGCAATAAGGTAGCCTGTTACTTAATTTAAAATGCACAAAAGCATGGAATTTACTATTTTCTATGACACTGGAGATGAAGTAAAAAAAACTACTTCAATTTTTATTATTACCCTTTCCATGATACAAAAGACCAATGCATGAAAAAATACTGAAGCAATGCTGAAGGTGATAACTTGGTGACTTTTAAAAATGTGTTAGTTACCACATAACAATTTACTCTCCATATTTGGGCTTATTTGTAGGCTGCACTTTTTCCATTAGGTGCTACTGCTGTACGGCCAAGGCGGTGATCTGCTTGTACCCGCCGGCTGCCTGCCACTTTCCACCATGAGTAGAAGCAGTCTGAGGTCCATGCCAGATGCAGCTGTCCCAGAATCGTAAGCCAAATAAACCTCTCTTCTTTATAAATT